ATATTTATTTTTTAGTTTTCGGTGGACACAACATCTTCATTTTATTTATACGTGGTGCTGAGGATCGAACCCAGCGCCCCACGCATGCCAGGGGAGCGCTACTGCTTGAGCCTCCCCAGCCCTGGCTACTGTTTTAATCTACTTTAATATATTTGATTTTTAAACCTATGTTCATAATTTTCAGGGGTTTTTTTTGGGGGGAGTGGGCACCAAAGTTAACACTGTAAACAAAACAAAATAAAACCAAACACCAGGGGCTGGGGATGTGGCTCAAGCGGTAGCGCGTTCGCCTGGCATGCGTGCGGCCCGGGTTCGATCCTCAGCACCACATACCAACAAAGATGTTGTTTCTGCCGAGAACTAAAAATAAATATTAAAAATTCTCTCTCTCTCTCTCTCTCCTCTCTCACTCTCTCTTAAAAAAAAAAAAAAAAAAACACCAAGCTAGGAATAATTTTAGATACTATTTTTTCCCAAAGTTTTGGTATAAATTATCAACTATAAACCACATGATATTTTCTATTGATATGGATATTGACTGCTGGAATTGTTGAATTAACATTTTAATTTCTGCAAGAATACCTCAATAATTTGTTCTTACTAATTTTGATATTTATTTTTTGCAAAATGATATTCCTTTGTTCAGGTTTTCAGTTTTTGAATGATCTTATTAATATGCCTTCCTGATTGTTTTAATCTTAGGTATAACAGAAACTATTTTTCTGGTTTTAATATGTATGCTTCTTTACTCCTGTTTCTTTTTTTTCTCTTCTTTCCTTTTTTGCAGTGCTGAGGACTAAACCCATGGTCTTGCACATCTTGACAAGTGCTTCACTACTGAGCTACATCCCCAGCTCTCTTTACTCTTTTTTTCTTGATCATCACCACACAGAAGCAATTTGAATTTCTCTGAAATATCTTTATCAACTAATCATCCTTGTTCTCTAACTAACTGATTTCTTCCCTTGTTGTTATTTAGTCCCTATTGTTATAAATTTATTGAGTTGTTCTTCTAACTTGTTAGTTAAAACCATAACTCATTATCTTAGGTCTCTTGTTTTGTTCTTCAAACTTTTAAGATTCCTTAAAAAGGCATTTGAATCTGGGCTGGGGATATGGCTCAAGCAGTAGCTTGCTCGCCTGGCATGCATGCGGCCCGGGTTCAATCCTTAGCACCACATACAAACAAAGATGTTGTGTCCGCCGAAAACTAAAAAAAAAATAAATATTAAAATTGTCTCTCTCTCAAAAAAAAAAAAAAGGCTTTTGAATCTATATTCCCCTCCCATCTACAGCTTAGCTTCACCATACTCCCTTTAAAATGTAATACTATGATAGGGATGGGGTTGTGGCTCAGTGGCAGAATGCTTGCTTAGCATGTTTCAGGCACTGGGTTTGATCCTCAGCACCAAATAAAAATAAATAAAAATATCGGTATGTGTCCGTCTACAACTACAACTAAAAATAAAAATTAAAAAAAATAATAATACTGATGCCATTTTTGGTGATACATGCTTGTAAATCTAATTGCTCTGAAAATAGAGGCAGGAGGATCCCAAGTTGGAGCCTAGCCTTGGCAACTTAGAAAGAACCTATCTCAACATAAAAAGGGTGGGGAATGTAGCTTAATGGGAAAGTGCCTCTGGGTTTAATCCCCAGTACTGAATTTTTTAAAAAGTAATAATGTGTTTATTGAAATATTTATTTAAGGTTGTTGGGACTGGGGTTGTGGCTCAGCTCATCTAGCAACTGTGAGACCCTGAGTTGGATACTCAACGCCACATAAAAATAAATAAATAAAAAAAATAAAGGTATTGACAACTACAACTAAAAAATAAATATTAAAAAAATTAAGATTGTAATAAAATACACATTACAAAATTTATCATTTTAATCAGTTTTAAGTGTACAATACAGTAGCATTAAGTACATTCATACTGTTAAGCAAAGGCCTTTCACTTTTTATTTCTAATTTAATGATCTTGGTCAGAAAACAAACTTAATATTACAACAAAAGATTATGTTTTTTTCTGCTTTGATCAATAAGAAAGAGAGTAGGTGATAAAATGGCTAATGATGACACACTTAGTATGATTTCTGTTCATTTTTAATTACTATAGCTCAAAATTAAATTGTTAAATGTTGGTAACTTTTTTTAAATTTTTTTTTTTTAGTTGTTGATGGACCTTTATTTATTTATTAATTTATATGTGGTGCTGAGAATTGAACCCAGTGCCTCACACATGCTAGGCAAGCGCTGTACCACTGAGTCACAATCTCAGCCCCAAATGCTGCTAACTTTTATAATTGTTGTATATTGTTCCTTTTATAAGTAGAAACCATCCTTCCTCAGCCATTTAGGTGTTTTTTGTCTTAATTTTTTTTTTTTGTCAATACTTTTGATCTGTTCCTAAAATTGCAGACCTACTTTCTTTTGGTTCTTACTTCTGAGTCAAACTTTCCCTATTCCTTTTTTTTTTTTTAATTGGACACTGGGGATTAAACTCAGGGGCAGTCACCATTGAACCACATCCCCAGTCATATTTTAAATATTTTTTAGTTGTGGATGGACACAATACTTTTATTTTTATGTGGTGCTGAGGATAGAACCCAGTGCCTTATGCATGCTAGGTAAGTGCTCTACCACTGAGCTACAACCCCAGCCCCTACTACTTTATTTTTAAATAAGAAAACCAGCTCCTGAATGCTGAGATTTAGCCTGGTACTATCACGTGGGCTTTACTGATGCTAGGAGCTAACCTAGCACCTTATTACACAAAAATAATCTCACAGAACATCAACATCAAAGAAAACCTACTCTCTGATAAGTAGTGCAAGACAAACCAAGACCACTTTGTATTCACATCTGAACACAGACAAAAATCAGAACATTGTTCAAACCACAAAGGTCAACAAACATACCCTTATTTTGGCTAATAAAGTGACTGCTTCTTTTTTTATTATAGCTTTAAGCCTCACACCATTCATCTTATCTTCTAAATAAAAATTATTAAGATACCGATGGGGCTGAGGTTATGGCGCAGCAGTAGAGCGCTTGTCTCACACATGTAAGGCACTGGGTTTGATCCTAAGCACCACATAAAAATAAATAAATAAATAAAAGATATTGTGTCTATCTGCAAAAAAAAAAAAAAAAAAAAGATACCCAGTCATAAACTTGCTGAACAACCACAAAAATGGAGGTTACCTGAAGTTCAGTTGACTAAATCCTTATTCATTTGACTAAACCCTAAAATGAAATTCTAGTATTTCTTATATAGTCAATAAAAAAGGAAGACATGACAAGAATGTCCACTGTAATGCTGCTCATAATATGCTTTCTTTGTATTATAGCAAACATTAAAAAAAAGTACGTGAAGTGTCTAGCATATCATCTTTGGTGAAATCACAAGAAAAAATTGTAGTTGTATTTTTACCTATATACAGAACTTGGTAATCAAAAAAAACTAATAAGACTGGTCATCTATACTGGAAGATGTGGGCACATAACAGAGTGGCAAGTGAACAGCAATCCCATCTTTCCCCTGAATTTCTTTTCTTTTTTTTTTTTTTTATAGTTGTAGATGGACAGCATGCTTTTATTTTACTTATTTATTTTTATGTGGTGCTCAGGATAGAACCCAGTGCTTTTCATGTGCTAGGCAAATGCTCTGCCACTGAGCTATAGCCCCAGTACCTCCCCTGAATTTTTTTTGCCACAATACGTTTTGTTGGTGTTACTAGGGACTGAACCTAGGGGCATTTTATCACTGAGCAACATTCCTAGCCATCTTTATTTTTATTTTGAGACAGGATCTCACTAAGTTGTTCAGGGCCTCACTAAGTTACTGAGTCTGACTTTGAACTTGTGATCCTCCTGTCTCAGCCTCCTGAGTCACTGGGATTATAGGCATGTACCACCTCGTCCAGCTCACCACAATGCTTTTCAGTGTTGCTTTAATATTTTGTAAATATTTCAACTAAGTGTATGTATTGCCTATTCAAAAAAATTAAATTATTCCTAGTAAACTATCAGAATATCATCAGAGGAATAAGAAATATTACATACCTGAAATAAGAACAGTATGCTAATGAAAATGAATATTTAGACTATAAACTAAAGTTTTTGAAAATTAAAACTTTGAATTAAATGTTGATATAACTGAAGAAAAGCTCAACAGAAGGGCTAAAGGACAAAGTTGGTAAAGTTTCCCAGAAAGGAAAACAGCCAAGGAATAGAAAAACAGTGTGGGGTGGGTGTAAGGGGTTGGGGGATGGTGGGGTGCAGGTATGGAGAACCAATATTTGAAAAACAGAAATCTCAACACCAGAATTGAGAAAATATTTGTGCTGGAAGAAGCAGTATGGGAAGAGATGGAGAAATGTCTTCAAATGCCATACAAAAGTGATTTCTAACCAAGAATTTTATCCACAGATGAAGGATCAATCAATATAGTGTGATGGCAAAATAAACAACAACCTCCCTTGACAGGCCACTTTCCACTTTCATACAGTTGGCCCCTAGAGATGGAGATATCACCTCTTTGATCATTCTTTTTTTTTAACAATTCTTTTTAAATTTTTCTTAATTTTTTAGTTGTAGATGGACACACCAACTTTATTTTATTTAGTTATGTTTTTATGTGGTGCTGAGGATCGAACCCAGTGCCTCACACATGCTAGGCAAGCGCTCTACCATTGGTTACAACCCTAGCCCCCCTGTTTGCTCATTCTTGACAGATGAAGATTTGTTTCAAGAACAGCAAATTTTGTGTGGGTGGGGGTGGGGTAAGGGGCAGTGTGCTGGGATTGAATCCAGGGCCTTGTGCAGGTGAGGCAAGCACTCTACCAGCTGGGCTATATCCCCAGCCCAAGAACAGCAAATTTAAGAGTATGGCTCATTCTTACATCCTATCTCTCTCTGTTCTGAGGCTCTGGTTACAGATCAGAGATATTCACTCCTGGGATTAATTCCCAGCCCGAGGATGCCTCCTCCGTACCTCATATGAGCTCTCATGATCCTCTGGAGCCAGAGTTGTAGGTTTCTGAGGTGAAATCCAGTTAGTTGGCATGGCCACACTGGGTTGCAACTATTGTTCTCTCAGGAGCCAAAGACTTAATGGTCCTTTGTGAATTCAAGTAGAGCTGTTGGGAAGAGGTGACCTGGAGTCTGAGGAAGATCTGGTCCAGGGGCTCCCCAGAGATACCACAAAACCTAGAAACATCAAGTCCACATAGTCAGTCATTCAACATTCACCACCTAAACAACTTCTGCAGCTAGAAACCACAGAGCAGTGGTTCTCAATCTTGAGTATCCATTCAAATCATCTGAAGGGCTTTTTAAGACACATTTAAAAATTTTCAGTCTCATCCTTGCAATTTCTAATTTAGTAGGTTTAAGGTAAGGCCCAATAATTTGCATTTCTAGCTAGTGCCCTGATTACTCTAAAACTGTTTTTTCAGGGACCATATCGAAGAAGCAGTCCTGTGAAGGATATAAAATCAAAATGTGACAGGCATTACTGATGGTAAAATATGGGGAAAAGCATGAGATTTGGAGTCACATTCCTACAGATTTGAATTGCAGCTCTGCCATCTTTCAGCTAAGAGAATATGCAGTTACTTCAGTATTAATTTCAAAAATTAGGATGAAAATGCCTATCTAGTACTTATGAAAATGAAAGTATATAATGCTTATATAAAGTACTCAACACTTCCCTGGCATACAAAGATCATGCAATAAATACTAGCAAACTATATTATACATTAAAACAATATAAAAAATAATGTTAATCAGGACAAGTAAAACAATAAATACACCATACAATATTGACTTATATATGTGACAAAAGTGGTATTCAATTGAATGTGCACAAAACATTGTATCAGTGTTCCTAATATAACAGTCCATCCACCTAGAACAAAACAAACTTTAGAAGACTGCCACACTATTCAGTAGACAAATTCCAACTGAACTGAAATATATGTATTTTTTTAAAACCCAAAGAACATTTAAATATATTTTAGGAGTATGTATTACATAACATTGTCATGTGCTGAGTGTAACAGACACAGAGAAAACCCAAAAGCTATTTTTAAAAAACCCAGATTTTTCTGATTAGATGACATTTACTGATTATGTTAAATATGCAATAAAAATTGAAATAGATATTTAAAGATATCAATTTTTTTCACTATGTGGTAATAGGTTTCTTGTAATGTTAAAAAAAATCTAGCAATCACTAAATAAAACCTGGACGAAGGATATGAAAATTCAAAGAAAAGGAAACAAATAGAAATTATGCATTAAAACAATTAAATATAGTTTCCTTTAAGAATTGTAAAAATTTTTTAAAAGCAATAATATCCAGTGTTGGAAAGCATTTGGAAAAATAATTTCTTTACAATTCATTGGTGGAAGCTTAAATTGCTAAAATACCTTTTGAGACATTTACTCAGAATCTATTATTAAAATACACATAAGTGTTCATAATAATATAGTTTCAAATATATTACAAAGCAGAAACTAACAAAAGGAAGAATAAGAAGACAAAACTACCTTTCTGGTGTAAGTAGTTTACCTTCTTCTGTAATTAAGCAGACAACATTTGTAAGGAGAGATAAGATATATTCATAAAATATATGCTGAATTTGTATATAACAATACAATTTGAGAATATATTTTGTTTTATGTAACATTTTTGAAAACTGACCATTACATAGACCATAAGATTTTTTTTCAACTGAGCAGTGCCCAGAGACATCATTTGAAACAGAAAATACTCTTCTGAATAACTAATGGGTCAAAGGAAAAAAAAAAAAGTTTAAAAAAAAAACAGATTTAAACAAAAAAGAAAATGTTACACACCAAAGGTTGTGAATCTCTATATTAAAGAAGACCGAAAATTGATGAGCTGAACTCAGGTTAGAAAGCAAGCTGATCAAAGAACTCAGTGACCCCACTAGAGACTCTCAATCACCAACCACAGACTCTGTCACTTGACTCCTAACTCCCAATAACTCACCTCAGAGAACCCCATCACTGACAGGAGAGACCTTCGCCACTGACAACCATAACGGATGCCCCGCCCCCATCACTGAACCCCCAAACCATCACTAGCTCCACCCCACCGCTCACACTGCTGACTACACAGAATCCTCAATCGCGACCAACCAAAATCATCTCAAAGACTTCTAGCCATCTCCTAATAGTAGCCCCGAAATAACCTTCGAGGACCACTTCCACTTCCGGTTTGACTTCTAAAACCTCCCCTTGGGGGAATGTTGGTACTGCGCATGCTCCGAACTCTGGGCTGCCAACAGTAAACGCCGCGCAGACATTCCTTTATAGAGACTTTATGCGGTTTCCATAGGAGGTGTGGTCCGGCGGAGAACATGGCCGCGCCCAGGGTTACTTCTTTGTGTGGGCCGCCCTCTGTTCGTAGAGCATAGGAGTTGGCCCGCACCCAAGTGTCACGGTGTGAGCCTGGGACTGTCACATAAAACGTGGGACTGTCGCCTTTGTCTGAATAGGCCTCCGGGAGGAGGAAGTTACCGGATATGGGTTCTGGAACTTTACATTATACTTAGAAAAGCTAGTTGCCACGAGGGCTACAGCGAGCAGGGAATCCAGCGAGGACAAACCACTAGGAGGGATTCCTGGGAGAAACCACAGGGAAATAAGGGAGAAAACAGACGGAACAGTCGGCTTTATGAAGAAACAAATGGAGAGGCGAGAATGGGAATCCGCCCCTGGGTAAAACCCCCAGCAACACGGAGACAGAAATTGGGAATATGCCAAACCCCTACTGTGAGTGGTACAGCCTTTAATAGGAGAAACCACCCCGGGAACTAGGGTAGCGGTCCAGCCCGGGAGATACCACTGGAGCAGGGGGGGGAGGGGGGGGGTTTGGTCCCGAAGTTATGATGAAGGGAGGGGAGGCTCGAATTCCCGTTAGTTTCTGTCAGCCTCCACCCAACTAAAGTAAAACTATAATAGGTAGTCGTCGTCGTCGTGGTAATCATGACAGTTAACATAGGCAACGTTATTAAAAACACCTAAAAAAAAGTTGCTATTTTTATTTACTTGTAAATTAAAATATAATGTGTCTTAAATAGGAAAATGAAACCTTAAGCCGTCTCTTGACTCTTCGCTAGTTTCTGTATGGAAATTCTGAAGTAACACTCTCTTTATGAGGTTAGGGGTGGGGAACGGCTAAATGGTCTTCAAAACCCAGTTTAGTTATCGCTTTTCCCAGGAACATCTATGTGGCCATGGTGAGAAGTTCTATGCTCTATTGAAAATGTTCACTCCCAGCAAACGGGGAAAGGGTTTTGAAGGAATTGGAACTACGCCCTCATGTGGGAATTCTGGGTATTGTCAGGCCAGTTATGTACCTCTCTGGGATTCAGTTTAAAAATAGAGCCAAAGGCTGTGTATTTAGCTCTGATTAAATAGTTTGCTTAGTATGAGCAAGACCTGGGTACATCCCCATGTCACAAAAAATGAGTGGGGCAGTTAGTGAGTTGAACTCTTATCCCAGGTTCTCTTTCTCCCTCCAAAAGATGGTCTAAGAAAAAAAAATCTATGGAAGTCCCTTAGTGAACACATGTTTCTGCCAAAGACTTAAGAATAACTGCTGTTTTGGTTTTTTTTTTGGTAATATGGTCATGTTAAAAAAAAGACTTTTGAGATTCACATGAAAATATTATGGGTGGAATGGTATTTACTGTAAAAACTCAACACTGAGCTGGGGTTGTGACTCAGTGGTAGAGCGCTTGTCTAGAATGTGCAAAGCCCTGGGTTCAATCCTCAACACCACATAAAAATAAATAAAATAAGGTATTGTGTCCAACTACAATTAAAAATAAATAAATGTTTTAAATAGCCTGTCTCCACTATAAATTAACCAATGTAGAATAAAATATGAACTTAAGCTAAGACCATTATATTTATGTATTATAAATATATAAATTATAAATATAAGTTATATTTATTACATAAATGTAGGTTTATGACAGTATAAATTATTGACATAACAGAATCCATAGAAATAAAAATTTATTATATAATACATTTATGTAGTTTTTTTCCTGAAGGAATTTTCCAACACAAAGTGTAAAATAAAACAAAAGACATTCTTACAGGGCTGGGGTTGGAGCTCAGTGGTAGAGTGCTTGTTTCACACTCATGAGGCCCTAAGTTTGATCCTCAGCACCACATAAAAATAAATAAAATTATATTGTGTCGATCTACAACTGAAAAAAAAATTTTTTTTAAAGTCATTCTTATATTTTCTATATTCACAGAGTTCTTATCGATGGCCCATAAAGGATGACTTGGAAGCCAAGGATTGTCTACATTCATTACAATGTTGGTGCTTTTCTTTCTCTAGTATGCATTTTCTCATGTCAAATAAGACATGAACCATGAGTATAAGTTTTCCCACATTCCTCACATTCAAAGAGTTTAGCTCTGGAATGAATTTTCTTATGTCAATAAGATTTGAGTGTTAATGGAAGGTTTTCTTACAATTGTTACTTTCATAGGGTCTTTCTCCACTTTGAACTCTCTGATGTCCCTTAAAACTTGAGCTGTTTCTAAAAGCTTTTCCACACTTCTTACACTCATAGTGTTTTTCTTTAGTATGGGTTTTCTTATGTCAAATGACTGAAAGTTTTTCTACATTCCTTGCATTCATAGAGTTTCTCTCCAGTATGAACTATCTGAATTACTAAAGGCCTTTCCACATTGCTTACATTCATAAGGTTTTTCTCCAGTGTAAATTCTCTGATGATGAATAAGATTTGAGGAGTGCTGGAAAGCTTTACTACACTTATTACACTCATAGAGTTTTTTTCTCTACTATGAATTCTCTGATATCCATTTAGCTTTCAGCAACAGCTAAAATCCTTTCCACAATACTTACATTCATACTGTTTTTCTTCTGTGTGACTTCTCCCATGGTCAGTAAGCAATGAGTGGTAATTGAAGACTTTCCCACAGTCTATGCATTCATGGGGTTTTTGCTTAGTATGTTTATTTGATGTGGAGTATATGACATCTGTTAACTAAGACTCTTCATATTTTCATGGATGATTGTTACAGGGTTGAAATATTCTTCCTGATTTCCCTGTTCTGTCTGAAAATGGAATATTCAAAACTATGACTTACCAGGTTTCTGTTCTTGCAACTAAAAGGCTCAGGGGTCACTC